CCACTTCTAGCCTTTCTTCCCTCATAGGAAACTAGAGGTGGAGCTGAAATGTTCAACTCACTATTTCTGGTTGCTTCCACTGGAAACCAGTCCTCATTCTTAGATGCTTTCAAAGAGTTACATTATTAACATAAACCTGTGTGGTGGAAAGGGGCTTGTTATAAATACCAAGATACTCATTTCATCTCTGTGGCTGTGAGGACAAAAGACCATCACAACAAACGGTGCTCCCCCGCTCCAAGCCAGGAAATACCCAGGGTCTGAGTGTTATAGGGAAGCTGAGGTGGCACTTTCCCCACCGAGTGCTGGGAGTAGAGTCTTTTGCCTACTCTAAGGTTAGCTACAGGTTTTATATAAATAGAAAAACAATGTTTCTCTCTCTCTCTCTCTTCCTCTCTCTAACACAAAAGGACCATTTCCTGAGACACCTCCTCTGAACTGTTTGTTGCTCACAACACCATTTCTGACACCAAATGTGTGGGTGTTTTCCCCCATATCAGCCAACCTCCAATTCTCCAGACACCAACGTGGTGCCCTCAGATTCAAGTCAATCCTGGCAGTCACTGTCTGGAGTTAGACAGGCATCCTGCACTAAATTCTCAGGTGCTCACGCTGCCTCCATGTCAGACACCAACCATAAGTCTGGGTTACCCATGATTCTACAGACTGGCTAAAAAATGGGGGTTCCCACAGTCCCCTCCTCAGGTTTGATAATTTGCTAGAACAGCTAACAGGACTCAGAAAAGCAGTTTACTTCCTATTACTGTTTTGGTGGGGTTTTTTTTAAATAAAAGATTCGACTCATAACAGCCTGGGGTGCACAGGACAAAGGATGGGGGTCAGGGGGGTGCAGAGCTCCCGTGCCCTCTACTGTCACAGGGCCCTCTCAGCAGCACCCTATAAGTTTTCTGAAACCATCTTTCAGCGTTTTTGCTGAAGTGTTATTACGTAGGCATAAGTGATTAAATCACTGGCTATTGGTTATTGATCTAATCTTAAGCTCATCTCTTACCTGGAGGTAAGGGGTAGAGGGCAGGAGAAGTATCAAAATTCACATCCTTCTAAATCATGTAACTGGGTATTCTGGCAACCAGCCCCCATCCTGAAGCTATCTTGGGCTCCTCTCACCTCATTAGCATAAGCTTAGGTAAGATTAAAAAGAGCTCCTTGTGGATAGCAACAGGTCCTCCCACCTGTCACTCAGGAAATCACAACTGTGTCTGGCTGGTGCTCCTTGGTTGGAGTGTTGTCACTATACTGAAGGATGGGGATCCCATTCCCAGTTGGGGCTCATACACAGGTTTCGGGTTGGATCCCTGGTTGAGTCTCATACAGGAGGCAACTAATCAATGTTTTCTCTCTCTCTCTTCCTCTCTCTAAAATCAATGGAAAACATATCATTAGATGGGAATTTTGTTTTTAAAGAACAAATTCCAAGGTTGGCTTTTAGTGTGGCAGGGGAGGGAGGGAAGCTCTGTGCCCTCCCCCACCCTTTGCCTGATACCTCAGGCTGTTTCTGAGTTGAATCCTTTATATAAAAACAAACCAGGAATAGGAAGTAAACTGCTTTTGTGTCTGTATCAGGAGACAAAGACAAAACATATATAGGATACGGCAAAAGAGGCTTACAGTTGTACCTACTTTTGCTACATCCTTTATGTGTTATACACATATATCTACACAAACACACACATATATACATATACACATACACTGAGTGGCCAGATTGTTATGACCACCCCATCAGTACTTTGTTGGGCCACCTTTTGCCTTCAATACTGCCGCAATTCTTCTTGGCATTGACTCCACGAGATGTTGAAAGATGATTCGAGGAATCTGACACCATGCCTGATGAATAGCACTGTCCAGTTCTGTGAGATTTGATGGTTGTGGAACCAGCTGCCTAATGGCTCTTTTAACTTCGTTCCACAAATCCTCAATTGGATTGAGATCTGGTGACTGTGGGGGACACCTAAGCAAGGTAAAGTCTCCTTCTTGTTCTTGAAACCACTCCTGCACAATATGAGCACCGTTTCATCAGACCACATGACTTTTTTCCAATGTTTGACTGTCCAATCCTCTTGTTCTTGTGTGAATTGGAGACATTTTATCTTGGTACATGCAGACAGCAAAACTGTTTGAACAGGCCTTCAGCTTCCATATCCCATAGGATGCAGTGTATGGCTAATTTGCCCACAAACATCAGGTGGTCATAATAATCGGGCCACTAAGTGCATATATCTTACTAGAGGCCCGGTGCATGAAATTCATGCATGGGGGGTGGGGCATGGTCTCAGCCCAGCCTGCATCCTCTCCAATCCTGGGGATCAGCCCTAAACTGGCAGTCAGATATCCCTCTCACAATCCTGGACTGCTGGCTCCTAATCGCTCACCTGTCTGCCTGCCTGGTCACCTCTAACGGCCCCGCCCCCTTGCTGGCCTGATCACCCCTCGCTGCCTCTGCATGCCAGCCTGATCACCCCCAACTGCCCCCCCTGCTGGCCTGGTCGTCCCACACAGCCTGTTGCTTAGTCGTTTGGTTGTCCCTCATTAACCCCCCTGCCAGCCTGGTCATAAACAGCCATCTTTGTGAGGGCATGATGGTCAATTTGCATATTACCTCTTTATTATATAGGATTACATCACCATATCACACCCCACACCATGTGAAGAAGGTCAATAATCTGGGTTCCATTCATGCTGTGGACTTGTTTGAGATTTAGCCTTGGCTATTTCACTGTGTGAAAATATATGCACATTACTGTGAGTCAAAATGAGTCCAAAGAAAATGTTTACAACTATGACATCCAGAGTCTGGTGATCTGAAAGGTGAGAATTGGTTGGCACATAGTCAATACGTATTGTGTGTATAAATGTGGTCTCTGTGTTGGATGCACTCCTTTCACTACCTAAACTTCTGTGGCATCTTCTAGGCAGGCACCTTGGCATCCAGGGACAGGCTGACCTGAATGGCTTTCCCAGCCCTTGGAGCAGACTGGGTGGCTGCTTCTAACCTGGAGAGCTATGCAAAGGAGTTTGTGTGTGGCAACAACATGCAAATCTTTTAGTCTCAATTGAATTCCCTGAGTTTTCTCTGAGTTTGAGAGTCAAATAAATTCCCAGGCCCCACCTGGGTGCGTTCAGACCCGCCTTGCCAGGTCTGTGGAAGCATCTGGCTCCTCCGCGTGGCTTAGCTCACTGGAATGAGAGCACAGCACCCAGGGCTTCCAGACCCGTGTGTGGGTTGCTCTGAGGTCAGGCAAAAAGTGGAATTGGACTAAACAAAATCACAGAGTTGGGATACAACCACTAAGTGTCTTTTGGATTTGTCACAATTTCTTTTTCTTAAAACATAGCTTCATTTTGCTTAAATAAAGCAGACCAGCATTATACCAGTTTGAAATATATGGTTGATACATAAACAGATCATTGACCCATTTCCTGGAGGTTTAACCTCTGCCCCATCTCATTGTTGTCTTTGCTGTGGAATAAGAAGCAAAGGCTGCAGGGTGAGCTCTGAGCCCAGGGCTCTGGACCTGGCCTTCCCTCTCAGAGCCCCTGCTGCATTTCTCCCTGCCTCAGAGCGGCCTCTCCACAGAGGTTCAATGCCAGTTCTGGACTCGCCAGTGGCATGACCGCAACCAGCAGATCGCTGCAACTTCACAGAAATGTGAACTTAGTAGAGAAATGGAGAAGCCTTGGGAGTAGGCATCACATAGGCTAAGGATTTTTTTGAGGGGTGGGAGTCAGTGAGAAAGTGTAGCCAGTGGGGTCCAATCAGGAAAGAGAAACCACAAGTAGGCTAAACAGCCTATGTGAACACTAATGAACAAAATAAACTAACAAGCAAAATAGAAACAGACTCATAGAGACAGACAGCAGCTGACAGCTGTTAGAAGGGAGGGGGTAGGGAGCTGGTGAAAAAGGTGAAAGGATTAAGGAAAAAAACATCTCAGAGACACAGGCAGCAGCGCGGTGGTTAGCAGAGGGGAAAAGTGAGGGGAGGTAGAAGAGGGAAAAGGGAGATAAATGGTGACAGAAGGAGACTTGACTTGGACGGTGGGCACACAGCACAATATACAACATATCGTAGAGCTGTACACCTGAAACCTATATAATTTTATTAACCAATGTCACGCCAATAAATTCAATGAATATTTTTTAAAAATACATTAACCACATTAAAGAAAACCTATAATCTATAAGGGACTCCCTGTGGTAGCCTCGGGCTGAGAGATGGCCTGCAAAGAAGGACAGGAGTTAGAAGGGGTTTTGGTCTCTCTGGACAAGGTGTGGATGGGACACTGGGTCCCGAGAAGCTGCGGGTTAGCCGGGCTGGAGCTGGTGTGGAGTTGCTTGCTGGGCAGATGATAGACCACCCTCCGGAGGCATCCAGGAGCATCTGCGGAGCACGGACCTGCAGGGGATCCTGCTCTCGGGAGGGGAAGGAGCATACCGGCCTGCTGGGCTTTCCCAAGGGGTCACTGGGAGAACGATGTGAAGTTGCAGAGGGACCACTTTCAGGGCCTGTGGCTCTGGCAGATCCACGCGAAGTCCTCCTTCCCGCACGCTGACCCCCTCCCAGGCTGTGACGAAGTTGGGGAAGCCCCTTCCTCCTCCATGTCCCTCCGCTAAGAGAGCGCCAGATGGTGCTCACGTTAAAGAAGAAATGCTTATAGGAGTTTCACTGTTGGTTGTAGAGCCCATATTGAAGGGCGCATTTGGAGCTGAGAGGAGATAAACTGGTAATGACAGGGAGCCGAGCAAGAAAGTAGGGGCTCAGTACTTGAAAGCTGTGAATATGACACTTATTCAGAAAAACTGAATGCATGTAAATTAGCTGGAATACATTTAAAGTTAATCAGCTGTATTAATCTTAATTGTCATATCATTTTTGTTGTGAATTATTTAACTAGACACAAAGTTAAGAATCTGTGTGTGAAACAATGCTCATCTCTAATTCATGTTTCTTTTCTTTCCTTGATTCTCTGTTTGCCCAGGTCTTATACAATATACTAATCGCCTTCACAAAGATGCACAAGTTCGAAAGCATAGAGCCTGTCGACATTTTGGCTGGATGTGCCCGATTCATTATTGTGGGGCTTGGGGGAGTCTTTTTCGGCATTGTTTTTGGATTCGTTTCTGCGTTTATCACACGTTTCACTCAGAATATCTCTGCAATTGAGCCGCTCATCGTCTTCATGTTCAGCTATTTGTCTTACTTATCGGCTGAGACCCTCTACCTCTCAGGCATCCTGGCGTGAGTACCAACTAAGGACCAACTCTCGTAGCAATAAAAGAGCATTTAGGCCCACGTCCTGTGGACCAGCCTCCGGTGAAGGCTGGGCTACTGATGCTAATTCTCAGAGGTATGGCAGGATTCAGGTTTATCAGACATGTAAAACCTGATGCAGGTCCTTGCCAAACACTCTCCAGCATTTGTGTTTGCTCTCCTCTTGTGACCGCCTGAGCGAGCACAGCAAGTATAAGGTCACTTAAACATAATCAGAAAAGCTGCTGCCGACAAAGTCTGGGAGACAGTACATTTTTTTCTTTGAAAAATTCACTCTTTGAGTTAAGGGGAAGCACGCCATGCGGGACTGCCTTCTGCATTTCCTTCAAACCACATCGCAGCTCCAGGGCCTTCAGGGTAGAGTGAAACCAGGTAGATGGGACAAGACTAGAAATCCAGGTCTCGTTTTTCTTAGTGAAAAACATTTTGTAAATATTTATTCTTGTGTAGATCTTGGAATAAGGCTTCTCAACTTGGCCCTTATACCTGGTCATGTTGTTTTCTCTCTGACATTATTCTCATATGAAGCTGCTTGGGCAGAAATAGTTAATTTTATTGTACAGAGATAACTACTTTAATTAAATATAATAGTGTAAAAGCTAGGAACTCCTATTTCCCACCTTAAAAATGACCAGCACTACTAAGACAAGGCAAAGTTCTCTCCACCCACACCCTTCCTAAGTGGATCTAGACCAGGAACATTTCAAATGAACGATTTCTCATTAAATTATTGTAAGAAATGCTGCTCAGGGGAGGCACTGGGGGCCGTGTTGAGTGACTCTTCCCGGGGAACCGCCGTGGGTTTACTCGGCTTGGAAAGCAGAGTGAAGTAGACAGTGAGGGGTTGGCAGAGCTCTTGGGAGGGCGGGCAAGATGGAAAGAGCTGGGCTCCCGGTATGGCTTGAACTGCCTGCCATTGTGTTGAGGGAAGGCCCTGGTGCCCTCCTCGCCACCACATTCAAGTCCTGCAAACCCCCGGGGGGCGAAGAGGCAGAAAGAGAATCTGTGGGCAGGCTGCAGCCAGAGAGAGGAGGCGATGTTTTCTCGGGGTAAATACGGGATTTGTGTGTCTGGCATCAGCAATAAGGTGGGTTTGCGGGGAGGGCAAGCCCTCTGCTTCTCTCTGAGACTCAGCTCCTCCTGCAGCATCACGGCCTGTGCGGTGACCATGAAAAAGTATGTGGAAGAGAACGTGTCCCAGACGGTGGAACTGGGCCTTCGTGGGCTTCACGCTGGCCTTCTGCCTGGTCTGGAGAGCCATCAGTAAGGGCAGCCCGCCTGTGACTCTTCAGTGTCCCCTGCCCTGCAGTGCCCGAGCATAGCATAGCGTGAGGTGATGCCAACCGGTTCTGCTGGTTCGGGGAGCATAGGCACCTTGTGGCCTGAATGCTCTGTTTACTCCTTCACTCAGTTCAAAGTCCTCAGTGGCTGATAAGGCTCTGCCTGGAGCAAGGAGCAGTATTATTTTAATTGAAAGGAGAATTTCACATCCACACATTAAATACAGCTGCTGCTGTGCCCCCTTGCACCTGAGTCAGATATAGACATGAGCTGCGAGCTGCGAGCTGAGGGCATTCACACTTTTGTCACAGGAAAAGTGAGATGTCACACATTGTGACCTATGTGAGGCAAGTACTGCTAAAAAAATGTTTTCCTAAATAACATAGATGCTTTCCATTGAGGGGTGAGTATGATGTACAGGAATCAAGGACCAGGAATCTTCACTGGTAAACAGTGCTTGGTATTAAGTAATAAAGACAACTCTGTACATGATGCAACTGCATCACCTCTATAAAACATGCCTGACTGGAAGTGAGACATTTTGACGAATGGCTGCTGATTGATTTTGCTTTATGTTTCTGGAGCTAGAAAAACATTAAGCACTGAACTACAATGTGTGTGTTGACTTTTGACTAGAAGCAATTATATCTTAAAGTGATTTGACTAATATTTAAAACATTTTAAAATGATTTTGATCAATATTGTCAAGCCAATTACTCAAAGAGAAGTTAAGAGAAATGGCTGAGAACTTATTAAGCATTAAATTAATTTAGGATAGGTTTTAGGATCTTAAAAAGATTAAGAATGAAGAATATTAAAATATTCATAAAACTTACTCTGAATATATGTGTCTTAGGAGGAAAAACTTTAAGGAAATTGATAGAAATTTATAATCCACATAAAATCCTGGCACTATTACTAACCTGCTATTCGACTTTGGACAGATATTTAACTACTCAAAATATTCCACCTCAACCACAAACTGTGGGTGTGGACAAGTTT